CGCCCAGCAGCTCCCCCAGGGCTCGGGGGGGGCTCTCGGCCGAGGCTGCGGGAGGAGGGGCCGGGTGAGAGACCAGCACCCATGGGTGGCACCTGAGCACCCACGGGTGGGAGCTGGGCACCCATGGATGACACCTGGGCACCCACGGGTCAGAGACCAGCACCCATGGGTGACACCCGAGCACCCACAGGTGAGAGACCGGCACCCACGGGTGACACCTGAGCACCCATGGGTGAGAGACCGGCACCCACGGGTGGGAGCTGAGCACCCACGGGTGAGAGAGCAGCACCCACGGGTGGGAGCCGGGCACCCATGGGTGGGAGCTGAGCACCCATGGGTGACACCTGGGCACCCACGGGTGGGAGCCGGGCACCCACGGGTGAGAGACCAGCACCCATGGGTGACACCTGGGCACTCAAGGGTGAGAGCCCCGCACTCTTGTGTGGGAGCTGAGCACCCATGGGTGACACCCGGGCACCCAAGAGTGGGAGCCGGGCACCCATGGGTGGGAGCTGAGCACCCACAGGTGAGAGCCCAGCACCCATGGGTGGGAGCTGAGCACCCACAGGTGAGAGCCCAGCACCCATGGGTGACACCCGAGCACCCACGGGTGAGAGACCAGCACCCATGGGTGACACCTGAGCACCCATGGGTGAGAGACCAGCACCCGTGGGTGACACCCGAGCACCCACGGGTGGGAGCTGAGCACCCACGGGTGGGAGCTGAGCACCCACGGGTGGGAGCTGGGCACCCATGGGTGGCACCTGAGCACCCACGGGTGGCACCTTAGCACCCGTGGGTGACACCTGGGCCCCCACAGGTGAGAGCCCGGCACCCATGGGTGGGAGCCGGGCACCCATGGGTGGGAGCTGAGCACTCACGGGTGCCACCTGAGCACCCGCGGGTGAGACCCTGGTATCCATGGGTGTCACTTGAGCACCCATGGGTGCCCCCAAACCCTCCCAGGTGCCTCCAAACCCTCCCAGGTGACCCCAAACCCTCCCAGGTGCCACCAAACCCTTCCCAAACCTCACCAGGTGACCCCAAACCCCTCTGAAACCCCTCTCAGATGCCCTCAAACCCCTCCCAGGTACCTCCAAACCCTCCTAGGTGACCCCAAACCCCTCTCAGATGCCTCCAAACCCCTCCAAACCCCACCAAACCCCTCCCAGGTGCCTCCAAACCCCTCCAAACCCCACCAAACCCCTCCCACACGGTGCCCAGGTGCCCGGGCAGTGCCCACCTGCGCAGGTGGCCCTGGGGGCCTGGCCCAGGCTGCGGCTCAGCAGGTGGGAGCAGCGCCCAGGTGACCCCAAACCCCTCTGAAACCTTTCCCAGGTGCCACCAAACCCCTCCCAGGTGCCACCAAACCCTCCCAGGTGCCACCAAACCCTTCCGAATCCTCACCTGGTGACCCCAAACCCCTCTGAAACCTCTGCCAGCTGCC